CAGTGCCCTCGCCAGAGGGTGCTGGCGAACGTGGGCGCTGGGCCGGCCCAGGAGGGCCACCAACTCGGGGCCCGCTGCGCCCGCGCGTAGGGTCCTGTTCTCCGGGTAGGGAGGGTCCTGTTGGCGCGGCCCTGGGACCGCCCCTGGAGGCCGCCGCACCTGAGGGCCCTCTCTGGACTCCCCGCCGCCCGCTGCAGCAGAAACTGGAAATCTGGGTTCCCGACTTCTATTTTCAGAGCTTGTGGGCAGGACGCTGAACAAAGTCAGCGCGCTGTCTCCCAGCCTCTCCCAGAAGACCCTGCCTGGCCCGCGAGGTCTCATTCCCCTGCACTAGGCACAGGCGGTGGAGAGGGAGGACTCCTGCCTCCCGCCACCCAAGAACCACCCACACCCACACCGCTCTTAGTCTTCCTCGTCCTCACCCGCGCGTGCACCTTCCATCCCCGCGGACTCCTGGGCCCAGGGAGCGTCCTTCAGTGTCCCCGTTCCTCTGCAGTCCCCCTGCCACGGCTGTCTGCACTTGTAACCGCCCGCCTCCCCAACCACAACGGGTGGCATGTGCAGGGCTACTCCCGGTGTCCCCTGGCATGCGCCATTCCTTCACATACACTGCACGTCCAGGCCACGCTGGCTCTTTACCCAGGGTAGGGTGCCCGCCCCGGTCCTGCCCAGTACCAACCCAATCCTGTTGTGAGGCTTTTGCACCTTCCAAAGAACCAGCCAGCCGATCCTCTGCGGCTCCGAGAGCACTCGTCCCGGGGGCGACGCGACCCTGGCGCCCTAGAGCCGAAAACGCGTCCCCCGGAACAGGACCGGCCCCCAGCCCCAGTGTCCCCGGACGATATGGCGAAGCTGGACGCCGGCTGCGCGGCGCCACCGTTCCGGATCGGCGAACCGCGTGGCCCCGACCTCAGGCGCGCAGGGACCCCCGAGGGGGAGAGCGCGTCCCCACCCGCCCGCACGGGCGCCGCCGGAGGGCCACCACGCCCCGGCTCGCGCAGCCCCCGGCTCCGCTCACCCTCGATGGAGATGACGTGCTCCCGGATCTGGTTCTGCAGCGCCAAGTCCTCGATGCGCTCGATCAGGTCGTAGATGGCGTAGATATTGGGGTGCACGGACTCGAAGCGCTGGATCTCGGCCCGGATGGCCGCCGAGTTGGAGAGGGCGAAC